ATTTACTTTTTTATCAGATATACAGAAGTATCTCCTAAAGAACATTTAAAGTGATATACAATCTAAACAAAAATGTAAATATTTTACATTTTTTTAAATTATTTCACCACAAGCAAGGTGTTAATGTCATTAAAATGCAAGGAGATAATGGAACTGAATGAGAATGAGAAATCTTTAGAAGGAACCCAATCCTAAACAGGAAAAAAAGAATAAAAAACAAAATAATGTCAACCTAAAACAGGAATTTTGAGAATAAACTGTAATAAATGTCACAAAAAATGCATAAAGAAAACATCTCGGAATTTAAATAAAAGAATATATGAACACAAAAGTGCTTTTTTATGAAACAACACAGTCAATACATTAGTTTAGGTCAGCACAAAAAAATGAAGGGCCACATTATTTGTAGAAAATTAACCACAAGAGCATTTTTTTAAGTAAATTAATGAGTGAAAAATGGCACAAATCTACTAATGCATCCCATAGGAAGTCTGACTTAATCAAAAGCAAATATTGTACATAGTTTTATGCAATGGTTAAGCATGTATCAAACATTTTTGTCTTTAGGATCCTGCCTTAACATTACTCAGTTTTATTACATTGAGTGGGTAAATGTGTGAATTTCTACAAGCAACATAAGGAAAGGATGCCAATGGCAAAATTCAACAAAATTACCCACGCAGTTCCAAAAACTGTGCATAATCTTTGCTTTTGTCAAAAGTTACCTCCTTTTGGGTGCATTTGTATTAGCACTGAAAAAACAAAATGATTATGTGTATGCTTTTTGTGACAAAGCCAATTATAGAGATGCATGGATGCATCTAAAAATATTCAAATCTAAAATGGCACAAAAGTTTCTTCTTCCACTTTGTAAGACTACTATTTATCCATGTGAAAAAAGTCTAGCCACTTTCAATTTTAATGAGAAAGGTAGTATCTCTTCTTGATTACATGATAATCATATTCCTGAAACATATTGGTAATAGATATTTTCAAAATATCTTCCTAATATTTGTCAGTCAAAGAAGAACATTGCTTGCTCTTATTTTTGTTCATTGTAGAGAAAATCTCTTCACAAATGTATATGCTTACAAAAAGCATTTTCATTGCATTACATAATATTCTGATATTTCTTCTTGTCCACACTTCTGTAAATGGTCATGCAAGTTTTTCCTTATGCTTTGTTTTGTAAAAAGAGGAAGCTTGAAGATCAATCATCCCCAATTGGAATTCTCTGGACACTTCTGGATTGATAGAAAAGGGATCCAGAATCAGTTTCAACTTGCATCGCTTCTTCTGAAACAGTAGTTCTGTCAAAATTCTGAGAGAAGAACTGCAATTTGTTCAGTATATTTTGCTCCCAACTCAACAGCTTTTCTTTTGGGAATATGCTGCACACAGGCAGGAAAGTGATACATTTCAGCTTTCAGCAGTTTACGTCTTAAAAAACATTTCAATTTCATTTTGAAAACTTTTATTGTTCCTACTAGTTGGAAAATTAGAGTTTTTCCATGAAGCTGAATATTAAGATCATTCAGATGATTTGTAATATCACATGTGAAGAGATCATAATTTAAGGTTTCAAAATTTCTAGGCACACTTTCTAGAAATTGAAATATTAATTTTTCAGAGATATAAAATTTGTAGCACCTTTCCTCAGCTTAACCATCTCACTTCTATACAGTATACCAAGTCATTATATTTAGCACCTACTTCTTCTAGAAAAGCTTTGAATAATCTCATAGACTCTCTAGAACAAAGATACTTTACAGTAGAAACTACAATAGTGATAACATGATAGAATTTTATAACTTTTCCACACAAAACCTGTTGATGTATGATACAATGATGTGTGAATATTTGCCTCCCAAGGAATTCTTGTAGTTGAGATAAAGGTTCCATATTTTTTACACATATAGCAGGAATACCATCAGTGTAAACAGAACTAAACTTGTGAAATCATTTTCCAATTTTATGTTAGCATATTTTATTTTATTAAAAGTATTCTATCCAGTTACATGACAAGTGAAAAACTGTATGCCAGAAAGTTCTTTACACATGTCAAAATTTTCATTCACTAATCAAATAAAAAGATGAAGCTGAACTGTATTTTGATAGTCTGTGCTTTCATCTATTGCTGTTGAATAAAATAGTTCTTTCACCCTTAGTTTTAATTGCTCTGACAAGTTTGCAACAATGTCAGCTACTCTTCTCTGCATTACCATACATGAGACTAACATTCTGGAATATACCCACTTCCTTCCTCTGGACATAATCTTGACATGGTAATGAGCATACATTTTTTGAAGTTTCATTCTGTGAAGGATTTCCCAGTGGCAATAATTTCCTTGGAATTTTCAAAACTGAATCTAGTTACTGTTGAAATTTCTGTATTGGCTACTTCGAAAAACCTTTGTTCCTTGTCAAGATTTATCATCAAAATGGGTTCTGTAATACACTTTTCATACAAATTCAGTTTTGGGTAAATATGATGCTTGGTTTCAAAGTGTCACCTCACTCACCTTGTATTATTTTTGAATGGATACTATTTTATAACCAACTAGGCAATATCTTTTGCTACTACAAAGAATGAAAACAAAATATTTATATGTCCAATCAAGATTAAAAGCCTTGAGTCCAGTTTCTATTTTTCTCTTCATTTGTGAAATTTCAGTTATGGCTCAAGCTGAATCTTTCAATAGATTATCATGCAAATAGTGACCACCAACAAAAGAATTGGTTGGACACGGTAATCCAAAGGCACATTGGAATAGCAAAAGATGGCTTCTGAAAGCTAAAGGTATGAAAAAAACAGGACATTTTCGTTAGAAACAAAGAAAACAGTGCTGACCTACTCTGTATCAATCCACCTACATGGTAGTAAATGCTGGATAATTCCCTCACAGATGAAGAGAAGACTTGTGGCAACAAAGATGTGGTTCTACATAAAATTCTGAGAATACCATGGATAGAGCATGTAAGCAAGGAGAAAGTTTTAAGGAAAATGGAAAGAAAAAGGACAATTATACTTAAAATCTGAAAGAAAGTTTTGACATTTGCGATTCATCAGGACATAATTGAAAGCAGTAGTTCAGAGGTAAACAGCGAATAATCTATGTGACAAGTTTGTGGATGGCAGAATAGAGACTGGGAGGTATAGTAAAAAGTTAAATATTGCCAAGAGTGACAAAGGATAGGAAATTGTAGAAAACCATGGTTGCCAACGTTATGAAGGGACGTGACACAGAAGACCTTTCCTGAGACACTTTTATGAAGTCTGATTTTCTCAACGTCCCCTCACACACTTTGTTCAAACGAACAGAGGAATGCCGGCTGTCTGCGTTCTTTACCCACACATTTCCATTACTGACGCAAAAGTTTCAAAAGAGTTTCTTCATATTGCTACATTGTTGCAAACTTAAATTTGATTCAACTATTCTCTAGATGAAATCAATAGGATTTTCAGTTTTAGAGAGAGAGAGGGAGAGAGAGGGAGAAAGATTTCTTTTTCTATGGAAAATGAAAGGAGTTAAATAGATACAAGGTGTATTTTTCAGTGAGCCCGCGTAGCTGCCGAATGTGACAAAAGGTCAATATAAAGTCGGTTTAACAGGGTTAAGTAGATACATGGACAGTGAAACATTGGTTGAATAACGTGTATTTACAAAAAAAAAATTTGTTGTTGAATTTATTCTGCTAAACACAAAAATATTACTATTTTGAAAACCCTTTGCAGGCCACAATTGTTAGTATCGATGACCTGCGTCGTTCATCGTAAATAATTTCAGCATAAAGTATGCACTTTCAAATCAAAGAGATATATAAAAATGCATATATTTCAACATATATATAATTTAAACACGCATATAGCACATACATATCCAAAAATATATACTAACTAAATTAATTTGTTCTTCACCATTCGATGCAACTCTGGGTTTCATGCACCTGTTAATCGTCAGGCACAAATTAAAAAACCGACTGGGTAAATTTCAATACTTATATAAGCTAGTAATCTTAAAATTTCTATAGACTGACACACATATGTACATACATATATACAAAAAATATATATTTATACATGTACATAGTGGATGCCTGTTTTTAAGTAGATGCTCAGTTTATTTTAAACAGTATTTATTTTGTCTACCAGACTGCATACTCGAGCAAACTTATCAAAGAAAATGCACACTCTCATAGGATTCAAACCTATGACTCCCTCCGCAGGAGGAACCACCATCTGATCTTTCATCACTTGGTCACAAAGATCTTCACAATCAAGCATGATTCTATTTGCCTTTAAAGCACATTCACTCGTTCAGATTTGCTTGAAAGGCATACCTGCTTGGTTTTGTATCCGAAACAAGAATAAAGCAATTTTTAAAGAATGGATTTTTATTTTTTAATTTGATATATACACACATATATTGGCTGCTCCCTTGCAATCTAGTATGGCCATTCATTTTTGTCCAGACAATGACTTACATCGTTTGCCACAGCTGATCTGAAAACATTGCTAATTATATCATTGTTAGTCAATGAGTTGGTTAGTTTGTTCATAATATTGAGCAATGCTTGTGCATGAATTTTTTCATCATGGAGTGCACTGAATCAAATCCACAATCAAAAGTGATAATCCAAAGAGAAAATCAAGTCTGCATAATTGGTTGCTAGTGAGCCACAGATGTTACATCAGAGTATTCTACTTCTAGCTGAATACCTTAACAAACGAAAAGGTTTCTAACAATCCTGCTGTGCTGTGATGTATACTAGATGGATGTTAACCCAGCAAGGAGGTCATCGGCTCTTTGATAGGTTTTGTTTTTAATCCTGCTGGGTGTCAAATAACTCTCCTCACCAGAAAAGCCTAGTGTGGCAGCCGGTTTAGTCACTCATAACCTGATCTGATACTTGCTATCCACATTACTCGTAGGGTGACATGACGTGAATACACACACACACACACACACACATATATATTTATATATACACACACTTACCTCCACCATTTTTATAGCAAAGGAAGGGGAAGCGCCAGACATTGCCCAGACCGACTGAGAATCCGATGCAGGCAAGCAGGAAGTCCAGCTTCCGGCCCCATGTTTCGCGCTTCTTCAGTTTTGATCCGGGCTCGTCACTGATCGTGATGCTTGAGTCGTCCGTCGACGACGAGCCGTTGCTCACACCTGACATGGTCACTGTCGGGAGGTCAGGAAAGTCTGTCTTCAGCGTCATGATCGCCCTTGTTTTATCGCCCAGACTGGGGGTTTAAGGGGTTAGATCTATGAAAAAAAAAAAAAAAAAAAGATTAAAAGAATAAAAAAAGAAATAAAGAAAAATGGGGTCGTAGCAAGAGACGAATATGCAAACATATTGGGATCAAATACAGATCAAATATGGATAGGAACCTGACAGAATTTCCTATTATTATATATACATACATGCATGCGCGCGTGTGTGTGGGGGTAGGTGTTGTGTGTGTGTGGATGTGAGAACAAAACAAAGAGTAATAGAAATAATAAGGTAAAATAGGATAAGAGAAAGAAAGAGTAAGAGAAAAAAGAATAAAAGTAATATAAAAAAGAAAAATAAGATAAATGAAGTATAAAAGAAAGAAGGAATAAGAGAGTAACAGAATAAAAGAAAGAATAAGAGAGAAAAAATAGAACAAAGAGGAAATAAGAAAAAGAATATGAAGAAGAAAAAATTAAAAAGTGAGAATGAAAAAATGAGAAATTGAAAGAAAGCAAATAAAAGAAAAGAGTATAAAAGAATGAGAGAAAGAAATAATTAAGGAAAAATAAAACAGAAAGAAATAAGAGCAGAAAAAGAAACTGAGAAAAAGAATTGAAATATAAGAGAAAGAAAAAGAAAAACAGGAAGGTTGAAACAAATAATGAAAAAAGGTAAATATGAAAATGAGGAATGAGAAAAAGAATGAAAAAAGAAAGAAGGAAAAGTAATGAAAGATTAAAAATACTAATAGAAGCAAAGAATGAAAAAGAGGAAAACAGAAAAAGGAAGAAAGAAAAGATGAATAAAAGAAAATCAAAAAAAATGTAATGGGTATAAAAGAAAAAACAAACGAAAAAGCAAGTGAGAAAAAGAAATAAAGAATAATAAAAAGAATAAACGAACAAAGGATAAGAAGGAAGAATAAAAGAAAGAATAATAGGAAGAAAAAAGAAAAGAAAAGAGAAAGGAGGAAACAAACAATATAAGGAAGAAAAAAGAATAAGAGAAAGTAACGCAAAAGAAAAGGAAAGAATAAAAAGAAACAAAGAAAAAGAAGGCAAGAAAGAGAAAAATATAACCAAACGAGGGAAAGACAACCAAAAAAGAAAGAATGAAAAAAAAGAACCATAAGAGAAAAAAAGAAACATAAGAGAAAAAAATAACAAAGAAAAATAGCGCAAAAAGGAAAAAAACACAAATGAATAAAAAATAAAAAGAAGGAAGAAAGAAAAAAGAAAATAATAAAATGACGAAATATAGAAAAATATACAAAATAACAGAAAGAATCAAAAAGAAATAAAGAATAAGAGAAAAAGATAAAAAAAAGAATTTGATAATAAGAAGATATAATCAGCTGAATCACAAAGAAAGAAGTAAAATTAAAGAAAGAAAGAATAAGAGAAAATGCAGAAAGTAATAATTAATGAAAAAATAAGAGAAACAAACAAAATAAAAAGAACATTGCAATAAGAGTAAGACAAAGAAAAAAGAATTACAAAAATAGAAAGAAATACAGAATCACAAAGGAAGACTAAGAGAAAGAAAACAAATATGTCAAAAAAAGAAAGAAAAGCAGAAGAAAAAAGAAGATAAAGAAAGAAAGAATAAAACAAAAACAAAGGAATAAATAGAAAAACAAGAGCAAGAAATATAAGATGACAAAGAGAAGCAAACAAAGCTTAAAAATGAATGAATAAGTGAAAGAAAGAATGAAAGAATATGGAAATGGAGAAACAAAGAAACGGAATAATAAAAAAAAAGAATATGAGAAACTCAATGACAAAAAATAAAGACTAAAAAGTAAGAATAAACAAGAAATAATTCTCCCAGAGACCTTAAAAATACATCCTGGAGATTTCGTTCAAGCATGAAACAGACTGTCGCCGCTAGGTGTTAATCTTAATGTCCACTTTTATATTTTAATTACTGCGTGTATGTCAGTAAGGTATTGTTTTTATGTATCTCGACTTTTCAGGATATAAACTTTTAGGACTCTTCACAACTACCTATCCTTTGTTGGGTTGATCATTGTTTGTTCTCTTACTATCCTTACTTTCCCTGTCCTGCCATCCATTTACACAGGCTTAAGGTTATTTGCTGCTTTCCTTTCTCCCTCTTTCCTTTAAGTGTCAAATTCTCCAAGCCCTCTTTCCTAATTATGTGTCCTAGAAGTTTCAACTGACTCTTTTTGATTCTAAGTATAAATGTCCTCTTTGTTTCTATTCACATGTTCCATCCATGAAATTTTCAGTATCTTTCTATAAAATATATGTAAGGAATGAAAACAAGTATTAATTTAAATTTAAGGATAGGAAATAATTATTACAGGAGAATTTATTCTCCATTCTGTTCCTCCAAATTTTTATAGCTTCTATTAAAAGATTTTAAAGAATAAGGGTGAAATATCAAAAAAATTATAACAGATGCTATGAAAATTTTAAAGAACAGAATGGAAAAAATATTCTGTAATTATTTAAAGGAATAGAGAGGGGTTGAGAAAAAAGACTGTATAAACTAAAGACCGGAAGAGAAAAAGAAAGAAAAAGAGAATTAAAAATAAAAAAATGATAGAGGAAGAAAAAAAGAAAGAAAAAGGAAAAAGAAAGAGAAGGCAAAATAAAGAAAAAGGAAAAGAATGAATGAATGAATGAATGAAAAAACAGAAAAAGAATAAAAAATAAAAAGGAAAGAAAGAAAGAACAACGAAAGGAAAAGGGAAAGGAGAAAGAAAGAATGAAAATAAAGAGAAAGAATTATAAAAAGAAAGAACAAACAAAAGAGAAAAAAATGGACATAAGCACTTTGATCTATTTATAACTCTCTCTCTTTTTTTTTCTCTCTCTACCTACCTCCATACCTACCTATTGACATCCCGTATTCATTCTTTTTTCAATCTGACAATTAGACAGATGGCGTTATTTGGGGGACACGAGCTAAACGGTCAGGTAGCCAAATGCAGACAGGTTGATAGGCAGATAGGCAGATAGCCAGAAACAGACCGAAGGAAACAAAACAGGCAAACTGTTAGGCAGAAATAAACCAAGTAAACGGTTGCTATCTACCCTCAGTTGCTTCCAGTTGTCCCACTTACTTGTATTACCATTTATTTATCTCACTCCTATTGCTAATTATTTATCCACCTCTATTGCTACCAAGCTATCCACGTATCTCATATACCAATATATACGGATACCCCTCTGTTGCTATCTCCCTTCAACTGCTGTCTACCCCACTTCTATTGCTTTCTATCTCCAATTATGTATCCAACTTCTGTTGCTATCTCCTTTTTTGATGTCTCTCTACCCACCTTCCATTCATACACACATCACCTATTATTGCTATCTATTGTCTGTTGCTACTATCTATCCCTCTTCTATTGCTATCTACTATCCTTCTATTGTTACTTATCTTCTATTGATACATAGCCATTTCCCATTTATTAGCAATTTCCTCCTGTTGTTACTTACTTTATCTATCCACTTCAACTGCAACCTAGCATTTTATTATTACTTATCTCCCTTCTATTGATAATATATCCACTTTTTGTCGTAGTCGATGCATCCTTCTTTTATTGCTATCTGTCTCACTTATGACCCGTTCCTACTACTAGTTATCCTCTACTATTGCTATCAATAAATTTAATCAAATCAGTGTGGCCATGTCTATTTCTTTTGCTCACTATTGAAGCCTGTTCCTATCTATCTATCTATCTATCTATCTATCTATCTATCTATCTATCTATCCTCCCTTCTATTGCAGTACATCTCTTTTCTATTGCCACCTTCTATCTAGTTTTATCTATACTGTCGCCTTTTCACTTTTTACCGTCGATCTCCGTTGTCTGTTCCTCTTTTATTGCAACCTATTACCATTCTTTTGCTATATATCCCTCTTCTACAAATATCTTTCTATCTATCTTCATTCTACTATGCATCGGCTTCTATCCGATACCGATTTATTACCCTTCTTTGTTAAAAAAAAATTAGCTTTTTCACTCACTATCTATCCCCTTTCTATTGCTATCAGTCTCACGCTCAACCAATGTCCCCTATTCCCTATCTATCTATCTATCTATCTATCTATCTATCTATCTATCTATCTATCTATCTATCTATCTATCTGTCTGTTCTATGTTACAAACTAAACATAAAATA